TGGCGCGACCACGCTACACGTATCATGTTACGGCGCGACCACGCTACGCGACATGACGTGGTGCGACCACGCTACACGTATCATGTTACAGCGTGACCACGCTACGCGACATGACGTGGCGCGACCACGCTACACGTATCACGTTACGGCGCGACCACGCTACGCGACATGACGTGGCGCGACCACGCTACACGTATCATGTTACGGCGCGACCACGCTACGCGACATGACGTGGTGCGACCACGCTACACGTATCATGTTACGGCGCGACCACGCTACGCGACATGACGTGGTGCGACCACGCTACACGTATCATGTTACGGCGCGAGCACGCTACGCGACATGACGTGGCGCGACCACGCTACACGTATCATGTTACAGCGTGACCACGCTACGTGACATGACGTGGTGCGACCACGCTACGCGACATGACGTGGTGCGACCACGCTACACGTATCATGTTACAGCGCGACCACGCTACGCGACATGACGCGGGGAGATTCATCTCACCTTGCCTCTCGGCAGCAATCTGATCAGCAGCCGACGACGCGGACACGGCCGACGCGTAGAACTGGCTGGTGGCGCCACCTAGTGACTTCTTCACGTGAATGCAAGTCGTTAGGTCGTCCTGACATGATTCGTGCACCGTCAGCAAACAGTCTGTAGGCATGGCAACAACGAGAGCAGACGTAAATGATTAAAAAATTACACAGTGAATGTAACCGAAATTATTATTATTATTATTATTATATAATAATAATACTATTGTATTATAAATTATTAAAGTATGGATTAAATAAATAGGTGTAAACAATTTAAGTGCGCTAAGGATTGTTGATGTTTACCACATATCAGTTATTCTCAGTTGAATAATGCATGTATTTCGGATGACTTTGCACCATTGGATACTAGCTAGCTAGGTAAAATATTTTTTTTTAAATCACTTTTATTACAAGCTGCCATTCTGAGATGTACAAATATAAAATTCAGTGGAATGGCAAATAAGAAAAACCTTCGTCCTGGCCACTAGGGGCACCACGTAACAGCACGACAAATTCAGTTCCTCATAAATAGAAAATTTCGAACATAAATGAATATTATGTACTGACACTTCGTGTCCATAATGTTCAATGAAATTTAAAGTTAATGACAGCATAATCTCATCAACGTTATCACTGATACTGGTTAGCACTGCATTTATTTAAGAAATAACAGTCAGTGACATTTTAAGCGAAAAGTCAGTGAGTAAATACGAAAAATGAATATAAATATATGCACAAAAGAGGAAGATAAAGTTCGGTAACAATGGCTTATAAAAAGTAATAGTATCATCATTCGCACGAAAGAGAAAAATAGATCAGAAACAAAAAAATTTCACTAGGGTCATCCAATTGCAGCCAAAGAAATAACCAAAATCTGCTTTTAGTTTTACTTTTAACTCGGTGACTTATTCACAGAGAAGGACGACAGATACTAATAAGGTACGTCCTTCCCTACTAGAAAGGTCGTGAAAATGGGATATTTGACAGTCTCCAGTTCGCAAAATGAATATCGATGAGAAATGATTGCAATAACGTTAACAATTACATTTAATTATTCATGGCTTCTACGTCAATATGAGCAGGTTCTCGTCTGACCTCACCCATACAGACTGTGAGGCTGAGAGGCGTGACATGAGAATTCCTCATAATGTAATCTGACATGACATCAAAATGTTAACGGCGGACTAAATACGTTCGAATCCATGGCATTTACTCGCAGAAATTGCAAAAACGACAACGAACAACGACAGATGATTGTGCAAAGCTGGTTCGCAGTTAAACATGAATAAAACCACCCAGCATGTGTGAAAGCTCGTGAGAGGTCAACGCAAGAGGTCATGATGACATGAAAGGTCATGCTGACACGAGAGGTCACGGTGACACGAGAGGTCACGGTGACACAATCGGTCACAATGGCACGAGCCTCATGATGACACGAGAGGTCACGCTGACACAAGAGGTCACGATGACACGAGAGGTCATGGTGACACAATCGGTCACAATGGCACGAGCGTCATGATGACATGAGAGGTCACGCTGACACAAGAGGTCACGATGACACGAGAGGTCATGGTGACACAATCGGTCACGATGACACAACAGGTCACGGTAACACGAGAGGTCACAATGACACGAGAGGTCACGATGACACGAGAGGTCACGATGACACGAGCGTCATGATGACATGAGAGGTCACGATGACACGAGAGGTCACGGTTATACAATCGGTCACGATGGCACGAGCGTCATGATGACACGAGAGGTCACGCTGACACGACAGGTCACGATGACACGAGAGGTCACGATGACACGAGAGGTCACGATGACACGAGAGGTCACGATGACACAACAGGTCACGGTGACACGAGAGGTCACGATGACACGAGAGGTCACAATGACACGAGAGGTCACGGTGGCACGAGA